GTATCCGAATAAGTTTAAATATTAGTAAGACGATTTATTGATGTTTTCCATTGGTCATGCCAAATCAATACTTAGTTTTGGAGATTTTTAATAGCTTTGTAATAAGTTTCATCCGAAGGGTATACGCTTAAATCAAAATTGACACTTTGTAACAAAACCTAATTGATCAATTCAATTTAGATTCCATAATTAAGAAAAGAAAACCACTCTAATTGAATGAAACATAAAGAAAAAATTATAAAAAAAAACGCGTCACGTAAAGTGCAAAAGGCGATTTAGTAATTTAGTTATGGTTAGACAAAAGGGCAATTTAGTACTTTCTTCGTGTCACGTGGCAATCATAGTAGGTGTTTGAAAGGGGGATTTTTATTTCTAATATAGTAGGATATATATATATATATATATATATATATATATATATTCGAATTTAATAATCATTTGGACCACCTCATATTTGTGGAAGTTGGAAATTTTCATTTATTTCTAATTGTAATAAATATCTCCTCCATAAGTCATCTTCTTTGTTCAGTATACTTTATCTTAATTCCTTAGCCCATCTCAAAATAAAAGTTTATATTTGAAGTAGTTATGATAAATTAAGGTCCATCACATCAGGATGTTGATAAATGCAGCATTTTTAAATCGTATCCCTAGTGACATTTTCATTATTTTCTTGACAGTAGAACTTAAGTACGATAAATTTTATTTATTTTCACATTTGAAAGCTGATGATTCAAGTACGGATAATGGGTAAAAGTAAGAGCTGGCTGTTTGATTGATAACTACGATATTCAGCAAAATTAACTGATAAACGCATAACCAACTAGTTCACGAGCACAAATAATTGCAGATAAAAGAACAATAAATTAAATAGATTAATAAAAAAAATAAAGTTTTTTTACCTAGTGAGGAGAGATGTATATATCCATTCATTTAGTGACTAAACATTATGCCAATGATGCCTACAAGTGCCTTTTTTGGATATATATATATATATATATATATATATATATATAGTGAATTCCGTAATTCGTGAAAATGATCACTTCTCAAAAATGTTATTGTACAATTTACATAATCGATATTGCATAAGGCGTTGCTACTTGTCGTTTTAGATCAACAAAGTCTGCATATGTATTTTTAGATCAACAAAGAATTTCTTGTTAGCATGCTTTTTAAATGGAGGATACTACCAACTACAATATACACTTGTTATGTATTCGGCGGCAAAAAATAGAAAAAAAGATGGGTTTCGCAAGATAAATAATTGGAGTACACTAAAAACAAGAATTAATCAAAAGGTCCTTTCAATCAATTTGAGAAAATATAATAATTAATTAAGTCATGTTATAAGTTGAAAAAACGACACCTGTGAATTTCATTCCAACCTTATCTTTAATTAATTCCAACGTTTTAGACTGTATATATGCATTCATGCAGAAAACAGACAGACCCACTAACGATTGCGACTGAAAGGCTTCTATTTTTCAGTCTTTAACTATTATTTATTCTTTTGCGAAATCACAACATGATTATTATTATTATTATTATTATTATTATTAATTTATTTAATGATTTCGATTAGTTTAAAAAATAAAACTGTAAGAAACGGTACATAAAACAAATCTACCAGTAGGGATTAATTGTCCTACAAGAAGCTGACCGATCCCAATCCGTATCAAACAAAGAAAATACACTGTTATGTTGGTGTGAAAAGCCACTTTAAGATGTTTGCGAAATGCTGTTCATGCATACCTAAATGATTATGTAATGATGAATTGTGTTAACTCTAATGGTCAGCCCCAAATCTTTCATGGATTACAGAGACATAATTATGGAAACCGTTAGGACTTTTGCAAAAAGCTTTTTGAATTAGAAAACCAAATTAAAGAAATCTCCATCGTCAGAGATGACGACTGTAAAAAAATTTTAGAGTGATTTTTTATGGCCATTTTGTGAATGACATCTCAACACTCTTCAGACAGTTTAGTGGAGCTTCTTCTTTCGCTTTTTTGCCTCTAAAAGTGAAAAACATAAAATAAATTAACTACTCAAGTTGGGAGGGGTAACTGAAATGGTAAAAGAGAAAATTGTAACCATAGATCAAAGTTTCGAGCCTTTCTAACTAGAGTCGTCTAGGCGATAAATTAAAGGTTGTAAAAAAGAAAAAATTTCATTCGATTCAAAAATATATAAGAATTCTTTTTATTGAACAATTTTGGACCTGGTGTAACTATCAGAATTCAAGAAAAAAAAACTACGTCATTTAAGAAATTCTTTTTTTAATGCGTGTTTACATTAATTAGTTCCTTATTTTCCCATTCTCCTAGCTTAGTAGTCACCATCTCTTGAATAGTGGCCGATGTGTTTCGTTTATGCATATTCAATGTACCATGAAATGAGAAGTGATGAATAGCGTAGAATTAAAAAGTAAACATTTTTAAATTTTTTTAAAAAAATCAAATTGCAACATAAAAATTGATAATTTTCGTTAGGGCCGTTATTGGTGTACACATTGACATTCACTCACTTATTCTTCGTTTACTATTTTAATCAAAATTTCAGAAATATTAATCGGCGCATATCAAACTTGACAAGGATTTCACCAACACCAATACTGTTTGAGCCAATCTACTGCACCTTTCATGGAAAGAATAAACTGGATTTGGAGAATAAAAACAATCCCGAAAAAATTGACAAAAAGAAGAAAAAGATTAAAGTAAATAGCACTCCATATGGCCTGGTCCAAATCTAGAAGTTGGACTACGGACATAATCCATTTGTTTAGTCAGCTTCTCAGTGAATCTCAGTTTGTGCCAAGTCTCACTGATTGTGCTACAATTTAATTGTAGCACTCCAAGCAGGAAAGAAACGGAGGAAAAGAAAAGGAAAAGAAAAAAAAAACAACCAAAACAAAAACTAAAACAAAAAAGACACGCTAAAAGTTGACTTTTCCTTGACTTATTAAATTATACTACAACGTTGGAGTACTAGATTAAGCTACCTGGATTAATGTTTCCACCCATCATTTATTGACAAAGTATTAGATACATGTACATTTTGACTGACCTAGTCAATGATTACTGTTTCTACTACATAAGGAATTCTGATCTGGATTTTCTATAACACTTTTGACATCACTATTTAAATATGGTTTATGTTTTAATGAGTACTCCCTCCGTCCCATAATTATTATCCAGTTTGAGTTTTCATTTCCAGTTCAAATTCTACTAAAAGTGAAATCTCAAAGTGGACAATAATTTTAGGACGGAGGGAGTATATCACTATAATAAAACGATTCACTTACTCTTTATTTGTCCGTCAAATTTATCATAATGAGCCAAGTGAATCTATTGAGAGTGAACATATACATAAGTGTATGGTACTAAAATTTTGTGACAAACGTTCTGGTCCACAATTGACAACCGTTGTTTATTGATTATTAATTAGATCATAGCTAATGAGGGTGTATAGTGTGTACTGTATACATTAGAAAGATCTACTACAAGGGTTATTGGAACTTTTCTGTTACTGAGAAATTACCAAAGAGCTAGTCCCAAGATTTGATATTTCAGGTTGTTTTGGGATTTTTACCTGGAAATGTTATAAACTGGGGATAAAATTTCACCAGGTTAAACAAATTATTTTATCCAATATTTAATCTGGATCAAGCGTTTTGCCCCTGATTTTTATTTTGTGGTTTTACTAAATGGTGCTTATAGTTTCAGTGATTAATTTAGAACCCGAAATGAGATATCAAACCGAATGGAGCGTCAAGTAATTATGAGACTAATTCTTTGTATCTACAACTCTAAATCAAAGACTATGTTGTTTCTGCCACATTTTCTGTTCCCCCAAAAAAACAAAAAAATAAAAATCACATTTAGCATAAGATTAATTAGTTTGATGAAGAAAGTATATGAGAAATTTGTAGGTTGAGGACAAAGTTGAAAAAAATAACAATAAGAACTACGATGAGCCTAGATTTAATCTCCTCAACCAATCATCCTCATTTTTTCCCTTACATTAAATATCTCTGTGGAACATTATGGTTGTGATGGTTTGTCCATCAAATCATGAAGTGTGGGTGTTTATAATAATTAATAATTTGGTTAGAGCTAGACTTCATGCATCTTCTCCAATATGATGGAAGATGTATAACAAACTTTTGTTGCGGGGCATAAATTCCAATATAAATTGCTGAAAAAATTGGATTGATGTGGCCATGGACCACTTTTTTATAAATGATATTACATGTTAACCCTTTTGGCTATAACATTCCTGCCCTAAAAATATTTACGAACTCTATTTTATAGGTACATAAAGTTGGCATCGTGATTTTATATATCGTGAGCATTTAGTGTGTGCGAGCTGTGACATTGTTTGTAAGTTAATTAGGTTGGTGCAAAAGAAATTTTCATTTTTGTAATTAGTTCTGTTTATCGCTATAATTAACTTTAATTTCTGCGGGAATAAAAGAACTAAATCATGACTTCATGTTGTTATACTAGGTATGCATGACTTTGTCATAAAAAGAGTCAAGTTTATAACTTGTTTTACTGAACTTCCAAATGATCAAAGTTCAAGGAAGAAGTAACTTACAATTTCACAATTTTTAAATTAGTATTTCTATTAAGATATGCCATCTTGACTTTTTATATTTGTTCACAAATTAGGCACGAGCATCAGTACGGCTAGTACAATTAAATATTAACTGCCCACAGCTCAAAAGGGTATGAAAAACAAACAAATCTCACTTGTGAAGACTTGGTCATCAATCATCAATGATGTAAATTTTCAAACAATTTAACTCAGATTCTTCTTTCTTTTTCCCCTCAAATGATCAGAAAATTTAATACGCTATCTGTTTCAACATAGACTTTAATTTTGAGACGAAATGAGTATTTCTCTATACGTATCGTTAACATAGTAGTAGGCTAAGTTTGGATGGCAAAAAAATTGTGAATCCAATAAATGTTGTGTTGCTAAATCTGGTAGTTGAGAAGACTTGAGACGTGTTTGTTTTTGTCGAAAGTGGGAAACTTCACTCAGCCCCCCATATATGACATTTTTCTCCATCTACACCCACTCATTGAGCTCCAAATATACAAAAATAAAATAGAAAACCAATAAATAAATAAGTAAAGTGCCATACAACCAAGACTACGTACCAGTAGCACCTTTTAATGGCCTTTCAAACTTCTCTATATATAGTTAGTCTCCAATTCTACACTCAATCCAATTTCCAATCTCCAGTGTTCACCATATTTTCTAACATTATTCAAACCAAAGTTTACCATATTTGATTCCTTATTTGGCTCCCTCCTTGATCTAGTGCTATAAATTACTAGCTAGAAGTGGATCATTGAATTTGCAAATTGGGGGTTTTTTTTTTTTTTTTGGAACATAGAAAAGGAAGGCAAAAATGTGGAAGCTCAAGATTGCGGAAGGGAATGGACCATACTTATACAGTACAAACAATTTTGTGGGTAGGCAAATTTGGGAGTATGATCCGGAGGCCGGAACTCCCGAAGAACGGGAAGCCGTCGAGAAAGCTCGTCGGGATTTCACAAACAATAGGAAGGCTAAGGGAGTTCGTCCTTGCTCCGATTTACTCATGAGAATGCAGGTAACAAATAGATTTTTTAGTCCACTCTTTTGTTTTTTTCTTAATATAATGTTTTCCGTAATTGATATCAAGCTAGCCATGCATGCAAACCCTTCTCTTTTATAATATAGAAATAAAGAATTTTTCCCTATTTTCTAATCTTTTCAGCTCAAGAAAGAAAATGGGATTGATCTTCTGAGCATTCCACCAGTCAGGGTGGGAGAAAAGGAAGAAGTAACCTATGAAAAAGCAACCATAGCTGTCAAGAAAGCCCTCCGGCTGAACCGCGCAATTCAGGCCAGTGATGGCCACTGGCCGGCTGAAAACGCCGGACCTATGTTTTTCACTCCACCACTGGTATGTTTTTTCTAACAATATTATGCAATAAAAAAAACGAAAATAAAACATTTTCTTGTTCTGGATGCTAATTTTTGCTCTGATAATTTTGCAGCTTATTGCTTTGTACATCAGTGGAGCCATCAATACAATTATCACAAAAGAACACAAGAAAGAAATGATTCGTTACATCTATAACCATCAAGTAAGTACATATTTTTTGTTCAACCATTTTGCTTTTTCTTTTTTTCGTATTAGGAGGCTTATTTGAACTTTTTCCCCCTTGTCTTAATTAAAAATGATAGAATGATGATGGCGGTTGGGGATTTTACATAGAAGGCCACAGCACCATGATCGGATCCGCACTAAGCTACGTCGCTTTACGTATTCTCGGCGAAGGTCCGGATGACGGTGAGGGTGCAGTTGCTAGAGCCCGGAAATGGATCCTTGATAACGGTGGTGCAACCGGGATTCCCTCTTGGGGAAAGACTTATCTTTCGGTAAACAAAACGTTTACTTGAAAAAAAAAAAAAAAAAAGTTATTTTATTAATTTTACTAAAAATTGTCTAGTAACGATTTTTTTATCTGAAAATTAAATCTCGACGTGATTGATTCAGGTACTTGGAGTGTATGAGTGGGATGGTTGCAACCCATTGCCCCCAGAGTTCTGGCTTTTCCCAGAAGTTTTTCCATACCATCCAGCAAAAATGTGGTGCTATTGCCGTACGACTTACATGCCAATGTCGTATTTGTATGGCAGAAAGTATCATGGCCCTCTTACTGACTTGGTCTTATCCATAAGAAATGAAATCCATGTTAAGCCTTATGATCAAATTGATTGGAATAAGGCCAGACATGATTGTTGCAAGGTAAAGGAAAACAAAAAAAATCTTAATTTACATTAACCCTAAATCAAAACTTAATACCATTTCAATTCATGCAAATCCCATCAATCACTCAAAATCGATGCTGACATCTAAAAGAATAGAAGCCGGATTTGATTACGAAACTACAATTTTCTTTGATTGAAATGATAGTTTGAATTTTGAGAACTGTCACTCGTTTATACTGCATAGTCAAGAACAAAAGTGAAAAAAGAGATGGTCAATTTTGTTGCCTGTTGATAAGCCTAATAAGTCTAAAAAACGTTTCTTTTTTTCTTGTTTGGCGGGAATAATTTTCAGGAGGACTTGTACTACCCTCATTCCTACATCCAAGATCTTCTTTGGGATACATTAAATTACTGTACCGAGCCAATTATGAGGCGGTGGCCAATGAAGAAAATCAGAGAAAGAGCTCTAGAAAAGGCAATTAAATACATGCGTTATGGAGCAACAGAGAGTAGATACATTACAATTGGATGTGTTGAAAAGGTTAGTAATATTATTTGGAGTAACATAGATTAAAGGGTTTGTCCAAAAATTGTGTATACATGTTTGAGTGTATACATGTTTGAATCGAAGCCTCGCTTCTCTAAATGTGACTATAATCATTATACTAGTCGCTTTTAGGAATTAATTCTTCAAATTAAATGAGTTAACCAATTATAATTCTTAAATAATTTATTTGTTTTGCAGAGTTTACAAATGATGTGTTGGTGGGCGCACGATCCTAATTGCGATGAATTCAAATACCACCTCGCTAGGGTACCTGATTATTTATGGATTGCGGAGGATGGCATGAAAATGCAGGTATGATAATAAAGCTAAATATTTCATTTAAAAAAATTTTGTTTTATTTATTTTTTATTATTATTATTTTTTTTGTATGTATGGTGAGTTTGGTTACCCTTTGAAATGAATAACGGCAAGGACTAATTTTCTAAAATTTGCATTTTGGGGTGATTTTTGTAGAGCTTTGGGAGTCAAGTATGGGATTGTGTACTTGCTAGCCAAGCAATTCTTGCAAGTGGAATGGTGGATGAGTATGGAGATTGCCTTAAGAAAGCACATTTTTACTTGAAAGAATCACAGTGTAAAACGAACCCTAAAGGAGACTTCAAGAGCATGTATCGTCACTTCACCAAAGGTTCATGGACATTTTCAGATCAAGATCAAGGTTGGGTTGTCTCAGATTGTACAGCTGAAGCACTTAAGGTACTTTTTTCATATTAAAGAAAAAAAATTGTACAACCCATTTTAGAACTGCAATCATGACATTCCAGTAACGTCCTGATGAAAAAAGAAAGTAAAAGACAAAATGTTACCCGGTTATGAATTTTTATGATTAAAATAAATAAAAAAGTAAGAAAACACTATTATAGATAACTGTCAAGCAATTGAAGTATGTCTTCATTCCTAATTACTCTCATTCTCCGAGTCGTTTCAAGGGAGATTGATTCAATTTTGTAATGTTTGACTTGGTGAAAATTATTAATTTTTGGTCCTAATGATTTATTTTTTTCTCATTGTGTTTCTTTGTCTATTTATCCAGTGCTTGTTGCTTTTCTCACAAATGCCGGAAGAGATAACTGGACAAAAGGCTGATGTTGAGCGCCTATATGATGCTGTCAACGTTTGTCTTTATTTACAGGTAAAAATTATAGGACAAATGACTCTATATATGGACCCCTCAAAAATGGTCAATTTTGTTGGCTGTTGAAAAACTATTTCAGTAGTACAAATAATTAATATTATATCCACCTAATTACTTTTTTTTTTCTGTTTGATTAATTCTTGATCAGAGTCCTGAAAGCGGCGGTTTTGCCATTTGGGAGCCTCCAGTTCCGCAACCATATCTCCAAGTCTTGAACCCTTCTGAGCTTTTTGCTGATATTGTCGTTGAACAAGAGTAAGATCATCTTCTAAACAAATTATCGAAATTAAATTTTAAATTTGGTGAAAAAAAAAACTAAACATGGACACAGGTGTTTGATATCGTTAGATCAAATCACTTGCATTTCATGTGCAAAAAGGTTAACCGTTAATTTTTAACAGCAGCCTAAGAAAAAATTGACTAAAAACATTATTTAAATTTGTAGCGTTATATACTAACATGTAATATTTATAATTTTGAATGACTATAACAAGCAATTTTTTTGATAATTTCAGGTTAATTTTTTGAAATAAGAATCATGAACTGTTGGATACCATTAAATCAATTCACGTCTATTTCACGTGCAAAAGAGGTTCACCGTTAGTTTTTTAACGTAACGCTAAGAGAAAATTGAATAAAAACATTATTTAAATTTGTGATGTTATATCCTAACATGTAAAATTTGTAATCTTGAACGAATATAGCAAACAAAAATTTTTTGAAAATTTTAGAATAATTTATTGCAACAAGAATCATTAATTGATTTTTGTTTTATAATGTGAAACAATCAATGCAGGCATGTTGAGAACACTGCATCAATCATCCAAGCTCTTGTTTTGTTCAAACGGCTACATCCAGGCCACAGGGAGAAAGAAATCGAAATAGCAGTATCCAAAGCAGTAAAATTTCTTGAAGGAAGACAATGGCCTGATGGTTCATGGTAATAAACTAACTAGTTATTTATTGATCCCATTCTTGTCAATTTACATAGTTTTCATGTATAAAGGTAATTAATAATATTTATTAAGAATGATAACGAGTTTTAGATAGTAACTGATGTGTGACGTACTTATGCAATTTCAAATACATTCATAAAATTCCGATCCTACATTTTATTAATAAGGTATCAATCACTTTGATTTTAGTCAAGGTATAACGGGGTTCTCATGCGATGATTACAGGTATGGATATTGGGGAATTTGCTTCTTGTATGGCACTATGTTTATCCTAGCAGGGCTAGCTGCTGCTGGAAAAACGTACGAGAACAGTGAAGCTGTACGTAAAGCAGTTCAATTTTACCTTTCAAATCAAAATGAAGAAGGCGGTTGGGGAGAATGCCTCGAATCTTGCCCTAGCATGGTAAGAAACATGGTTTCTTTTTTTGCTTCTCTTTAATTTGATTGGACAAACATTTCTATAAATTTGAACATTTAGCAAAAGCTTCAATTAATACATATTCTTGATTATTTATTTATTTATTTTTTTTTTTGTGGGGGCAGAAATTCATACCTCTAGAAGACAACAGAACAAATCTAGTGCAAACATCGTGGGCTATGCTGGGACTTATGTATGCTGGACAGGTAAACGCCAGATTTTTATAGTTTATACTATTTTGGAATTAAATGCAAGAACACAAAAAGAAATACCTGCTATTCTTTTTACTAATATTATTATTCTCTTGCATGTTGATTTTAAAAAATAAAACGTATGTATATTTATTTGTTTTTCAGGCTGAGAGAGATCCCGCACCCTTGCACAAAGCAGCCAAACTACTAATCAATGCACAGATGGATGATGGAGATTTTCCTCAAGAGGTAAATAGTTGCATACAGTTTTTAATCTGTACCCAAAATTAATTACCTTTTCAGTCTCAAAATTTTCTTTCACGACAAACTGATTATAACAATCTATTTTATATGTATAATCACAGGAAATCACGGGGGTGTACATGAAGAATTGCATGTTGCACTATGCGGAATATAGGAATATTTTCCCATTATGGGCACTTTCGGAATATCGCAAACGTGTGTGGCCAACCCAGAACCTGTAGATAGATACAACAGAGTTTAAAGTGATTCATACATACATCGTACATCGTATGAAATGATTTTATTAATTTGTTTCTTTTTCTTTTATCCTAAAATTGTGGCCAAAAAGTTGTAAAAAGTGTCTTTCTTTGATACTAATGAATAAATTAATAAAGATTGGTCCTCTTTCATTTTCGTGAGACCCTACCCACCAAATTCGAGAACTTCATAGTCATAGATGTTTTCGTTTCAGTAAATAGCCGCCGGGAACATATGCATGAGTCATTTCCACTTGACCAGGATCATCATGTCCACATTTTGGTTTCAGTTTCATATTCTGATTCTTAAAATCGAACTCTCTGAAAAAGAGTGATGTTTATTATATTTCATTATTATAATAGAAATAATTATTTTCTTAGAAAAAGGAACTTTAAATAACGTTCTCCTACAATCATACTATATTTTCCACAAATTAAAATAATTCTCATTACTGTTTCTACCTCATAAAAATAGTCGATTTTGTAAAATATAGTTATTTTAGATTATATAATTCATATCCAATTGGCACACCATTTTTTTTTGGTAGATAATGAGACTGGAATGTCGGCTAGATGATGAGAAAACAAATTTGATCATGTTATATCAACAGCTTTTTTTGGTACAAAGGAAACAAAAGCCCAAAAATACTACTAACTCAACACAGCATGTTGATATAAGATACCAACTACATCGTGTTTTATCAACTGCTTTTAAGGAACCTGCAACCAGCCTACCCAAATCTCTCTTTTCAAATTTCCCTCTTTTCGTGCTGAAAGTTCCAACTTGATTTTGTGTCTGCATCGCTAGTTTGATTTCTGAGTTCTACAATGTCAAAAGTTTCCAAACGACCACAGAAGAAAAAACAATGTGAAAAATGAGAAGGAAAAAAAAAACAAACATACACACACACAGAGGAAACAATACCATTGTGATTGGCACTTTTGTTTTAGTTTAATTTATTTTAGATTTTAGATGAGAATCAACCCCTATCCTTTCATCATTTCTCAAAGATGACCCAATGAACAATTTTTTTTACGCATAATTATGGGTCACCTTTTCAGTACATAATGATTCTAATGCTATACACCCTGACACACTTTTTTTTTTTTTTTTCAAAATACTTGTCCAATTAAGTGTTTAATTTGCAAGACTTGTATGAAAAGTATAAGTCCAAACTGGACAGTTAATTCTAGATGGAGAGAGTATTAGTTGATTTATAATAATAAAGATGCAAACTACCCATTTAAGTCAAATCTTTAATCGTCTTGTAATAAAAAGTTGATCTCAGCCATATTTTATCAGGTTCTATTTATGAATCATAAATGTTTCACTTGCATAAAGAACAAAGTCCCGGAGACAAAACTGACAGGATTCTAGTTTCTAACGGTAAAAATGCTCTGGAAATTGAATGGAAGTCAGTTGAATGAAAATGATGTAATAACAAACTTGTAAACCCAAAAAAAAAAAAAAACATATAGAAGAATAATAACAAACTTAGGTTCTATTTGGATAAGAGTTTTAAAAAGACTTTTAAGATAAAAACTCTGTTTAGAGTTTAAAATGCGTTTGAACAAAATAAATAAGGTCTTTTCTAAACATTATTTTTTAAAAAAAAGAAGGCTTGAAACAGACTTTTTAAAATATAGTTAAGGGGGTATTTTTAAAATTTTTTAAACAGACTTTTTCATTTCCATCACGGGTCTCAAATCGGGTCAAGGCAGGTTATTAAAAATTCGGGTAATGGATGTAAAGAAAAAAAAAAAAAGGTTCCCTTCTCACTTCTCTCCCATGCCCTAGATCTGCCGCTTGGGTTTCTCTCCCAAATTGCCCGAACCCTGCTATAATTTTATGGCGATTCAAGTTTCTTCTCGTTTTGTCTTCCATCTTCCTATGCATCTGCCACCGTAAGAAAAAAATGGAAGGAAGGACTCAGAAAAATGGCTCAGAACTCGAAATTGGTTATGGAATTCTTGTGTATGCAGTGAATGGGGTGAAGTTTGAGGTGCCCAGTATTGATGGCAGAACCTGCTAAGTGTCAGTTGACCCCCCGAGCCGTCGACGGAATCTATAGAAGTTTTATGGTCAGAATTTTATAGTGGCTCTGCCAGTTATCTTTTGCCCCCAATTTCTGAAAAAAAAGATTCTTAAAGGCCTTCCAAGGTTTGTAATTGAAGGAAAGGCTTCATAGATTTTTTATTGAAGGAGGCTCTTGGAGTAGGCAACAGGAGTTGTTCGACGACATAAGCTTGCAGCGGTGATGGGCTGATGCGAGGAAGAACTTGGAAATAAATATTATTGAATATTATTAGTTAGTACATATACTTTCTTAGTTTTTCAAAGAAACCCCTCTTTAATTAAAGCCCATCATAAGATTTAGTAATCAGCCCCTGGTCTTTTATTTATAATTTTATATGCACTATCTATACTTTGACCACTCTACAGAACTAAATCCAGAAGCATATACACTATACTTTGGTTGCGCTGAAGGTATTTTATTTTTTGTTTATTTAATTTATTTATTTTAGATATCTTCATTCTATTTGCTCGTTTAAAAATCTCTCGATAACAATATTCCAAACTTATCATGCATTTGATACGTTAGAATGGTTCTAATATTATATTTTAATTTAGTCATAATGATTTTAAAATTATACTCTAATTTTGATTTATGTTGGAAGATAAAGTGTGGAAAAGAAAATTTTGGAACAAGACAATTGTGAAAAATAAAATAATAATTTAGGAAAGAAAAGTGAAAAAAAAAATAAAAAAATCCACAAATCATTTTTAACAAAAAGTAATTTTGAAAAAGACCTAATTCAAATGACTTTTTAATATTTATAATTACTAAAAGGGTTTTGAGAAATTCTTGTCCAAAGATAATATTTTTCAAAAAGTACTTTTTTAAGTTTTGCTCCAAACAGACTTTTCTTAACATATTTTTAAAAATCTTATCCAAATGGAGCCTTAAGCTGTCAGGGATGTTAAGTTCATATGATTGCCCAATCGATTTCATCCTTCCAGTACAGTCAGTATAATCTTTGCTCAGATCTTCTTCACTCATCATGGATCTCACTTCTCAACTACCTAAAACCTTGGAAACATGGAAATGTAACTACTGTCCATCTGAATCAAATCTCAAAGTTTCAGAACTTTTTAGCAGAAACAGAAGAATTTTTACACTTTCCATACGGTACACTAGTACAGTTGCCAACCAAAAAAAGAAACGCTAACTAATTTTGCCTTTAAAAGTGTGGTCCACTTCTAATACACTAGATTGTCATTGTCTACATCTGACTGTGGGTCTCAAGAACAACTGATTTTGCAGCTCTTAATTACCAACATTTTAACATGTGGAGGGAAAGAAACATCAAACTTATGGATGCTGCCTCAGGACAACAACTGCATAATTATCTATGTAAGTACTTGAACTAATCTTTAAATCAGTTACAACGCTCCCCTCAAAAACAAATGGACCCGGTATGCTGTACATTGTTAACGTGAAAGTTAAGTCACGTTCTCGGATTCCTAACATGGCAAATTGAAAGAGATAACACTATTAGAAGCCATGCTGTGATGCAGCACCAATTCAGGCATTATCTCACAAGAAACCCATGCTTTATGGTGTATGATTACGCAAGGTAACCAACAGCATTCTCATGAGATCCTATCATGCTCGATGGAGCAAGATAATTAAGTTAGCAAACCAGTCACATATTTATGTTTATCTTTAATGGTACAAACCATACAATGGATTAGCGCTGTCCTAATTATGGTCCCTACCATGAATCATTTCAACTGAAAGAGCAATGGGACGATTGTCAGAAAACAAAAGAAAAAAAATCACAAAGATGACTAGGACGAGAGAAAGAACATCAGAATTTAGTGACGGAACCATGAGTGTTGCAACTTTCAGAATTGCATGGTTTTACCTTTAAGCTACTTACATTAGCTATTGAATTCCTTGCCAGTGTTGACAGTGAAATGGGACCACCTTCTGCCACTGTCCAGCTGCTCCTCAGTACAATGTTCCTTAGTATGAAAGCATAACCGATTTTGCGGATTGAAACTGAGTACGGTCATTTCCTTCTCTCCCTATCATGTTCAGATAATATTGTGTGCAGCTGCTTTTTTAACTGCTCTCGTACTTGATAATTTGAAGCCAAAATCTTATCCAAGCTTTCTTTCTGAACTAAAAGTTCTGATTTTTTCCTGTCCGCCGCTGATATCTCAGAACTGTCCGAATAGTTTAGGCTGTTTTGAAGTTTTAGGAAGCTTAACTTCAGCTGAAAGTAAGAACAAAGTATAAGCAACTAGATGATTTCACAATCTCAACCGCAACATATTAATGGGAAAAGGAACAGATGCAATTCCATCAATCGAGAAAAATCAAAAGCAAGGTTTTGCCGTATTTGAAGGTATCGTTGATAATTCTGAAAAAAAGAAAGTCTCAAAGCAAGTGCAAATACACATGAAGCAAATTGAAAGATAAAATAACAAAGACAATGCCATATGCTTGAAATACATCAAGAAACAAGTCTGCAAAAGAATTTTGCTCTCCACCTATGAACGTGGAAAATCGCCCTGAAAGAATGGCAAAGAAATGGATACGTGGACTACTACTCTAATTCAATTATCCCGAAATTACCACAATGTATTTTTTGGTTAAGTTAGACATTTCCCTCGCCAATGAAGATGAGTTAAGCATGAAGAAATGCGTTTTGGCCAAATGAAAACTCTCAGCTGTAATTCACTAGTCTGACTGCTATCAACCAAGACAGCCATAATTAAAAGTTTTAAATCCCATCTTAATATTAAACAAGCGCAACCAGTACCGTGCACCCTATCCCACCGTAGGAGTCTGATAAGGGTCTTCTTTAATACTGAAATTAGCAAGATGATAGGAATCAATAATTTCACAACCAAATGTATGCTTTTGAACCATTTGCTACTTAAAAGACCTACAAGTTAATGTCACATCAATTTCTAATGTTACCACCAAACAATCAACCAAGCATCCAAGCAGAAGTCCCCATTTGCATTGCCTGATCTTGACCAGTTTAGGACATGCGTGCACACATTTTTCTTCAGCAAATATTCTTCTCCTTAAATGAAAAGTCCTACTACCCATGACAGAAATGACTACAAATGTTAACTCTCCAATGGTGACGGACGTTGTAGCTTTCAAAGATCATGCCTCATTTTCATTTTTGGATGCTACCCAGTTGTATGATAATTGAAACACCAACTGAATGTTGTATGACTCAAAGCCAATAGCATAAAATCCAAACTAAATTGATACCAAAAAATGGGTTTTATCAAAATTCTTAAAAAATAAAGACAATATTTTACTTACTTCATTAGCTCGAGTTTTCAGTTCCTCCACTTGTACTTGACTAATATCCATATGATTCACGGCTTGTGCCCTGAAGTTCTCCATTTCTTGTTTTTGAGATTCATAATAACTTTCTTTTTCTTTCTCCATCTCATTGAGTTCTTCCACCTCATTCTTTAGAGTTCTAGCACAAATATTTGAGAACTTAGTGTCTGAAAATCAGAAAAAGGAGATAAAGAACAAAATTTTACAAAGTGTTACTGATGACTGCCTGAAATCCTTTTGTATTATGCGTTTTTCTTTTCAGGAAAAGACGACCTTTCTCTAAGAATACATAACACTCAAACAACATTCAAATTAACTTTCAAATTTAAAATTCCATCCAAAATTCTTTGGACACTACTTTAAAGAATTTTCCACCAGCATACCATTTTGCTTCCTTCCAAGACACAGAAATTTACTTCAAATTTTTGCCCCAAAAAAAAAAAAAAAGGAAAAAAAAATCTTCAAAACCTAGTTTCATATATATATATATATATATATATATATATATATATATTTTGCCAAAAGTGTGAGTTTTTGTAACGTTTTAAAGGTATTGAGAATCATTGTTAACCCAACTTTAAACTGCACAAAAAAAGGAGGTTAAGAGTATTGAAACAAATATAAAAAGCCAAAATCTAGGCCAAAGCAAACACTTATAGAAGTGTTGAGCAAGTACAATAATTGACAGAATACTTTTTTACCTTTAGAAAAACACCTATAAGAAACAAGGGTAAAACTTCAATGAATCATCATGGAATAGCACAAAAATCTAGGTCAAATAGTGTCAGTTGATTGATTCTGGTGGCTGCTTTCTGAATGAACCATTATCGACTCCAATCATTCTTGATTTCATCATAAATGGATCTATTAGTACCTTTCCATTGCCATATGCAGCAGTAACAGTATTGAGTTCTTTCACTACAACTCAGTTACACCAGAAAAAAGTTCTACCAAAACACAAGCAGGTACAGGTCACCTAAATGACAGAGTTTATACTTTCCTGCGATCAGTTCTACATATCATTAGGGAAACCTCTTGCTGGTCCTGAAACTATCTCCACAATGCCAACTCATCTTCTAAGTGATATAACATTGTAAGAATTTGACGTTCTTTTTTGGTCTCAGTCATTAATTAATGCATGGATACACATTAACTTGAAATTGTTCTCAAGACCTGTTCTATTAGGCTATATAATATGAGGAAATTCAATGATAAGCTTATCTACCACCTCCTTGACATTCAGAATAATATCAGTTAAGAATAATAGCTCACTTTTCCCTGCTGCTTAGGGTAATATTTATTGCCTCCAGATCTCATGTTCTGACACACAAAGATTTATAACTCCAAGACAGGCATGTACAGGTACATATGAGTAATTTAACACAAACTAGACTTACCTACATATACAATCAAAGATAAATGCAAATACAGAGTCTGCAAGAGACACTTACTATCAAACACTTCAGTCAACTCTGTTCTTTTGTAGTTTCAGCTACTATAAAAGCCTTAATAACAGTTTAATACATTCTCAACACCCATTCAACTAAGGCACATAAGATAGCTTAAAATTCTTGATATAGCCCTCCACTATCTACAGTATATTCTTCTCCAATAAGTAACAAGAAACAAAGTAGAGTTTCGCTCGCTGTAAAACTTTTTTGTACTGTTTAGCATTTAGCATTTAGCATTTGGCGTTATCTACGACTACAGCACATGTTTACCCACTCACTACCAACCAAATACACATTTACAATCAAGGATTCAAGGTGCAGTGGTGCAAGGAAATATATAGTCTGTGAAACACGAATGACGTATCGTGTCAAACACTCTTGCAAACATGCACATTTCAGGCACACACAAACACACACCCCAAATAAAAAAATAAATAAAATAAAAAAAGCCCAGATACATCGGCAAACATAGTTGGATGCCTCAACCAACAAAGTCTCAAACAAAAGTGAATTCTGCCCCCTATTAACTACTCATTACCGAATTCAAGAACAAGCAGGACGTGAAATCACCTCAATTTCTGGAAAATCTCGGAATAGACAGAATCGAGGCGGTGGAGTTCGGATCTGTGAGAGGACAACATCAGGTGTTGCGACGCAATTTTACAATCGAGCTTCAAACATCGCTGCTCCAGTAATCTGATATTGCACGCCTTCGATTCTAATACTGCTGACTTGTTAATTTGGAGCTCCTTTTCCGACTGCAAAAGAGAGGGGAACAGGATCAAATTGAAAATTGCGGAAAGCAATTCGGAGAAATTAAATAGGACGAAATCACAAAAAAAAAGGAGAAATCAAGGGAACCTGGAGGAGGGAGAGGCGTTGGTTGCGAGTGTGTTCCATTTGATCCAGTCGTTCGCGAAATGCTGATTGAAGCGCCATTGTCGCCTTTGGGCGCTCAGAGCAGGGCTTCGATAAGGGCAGGGTTTTTATAGTTTGGGGGAAATTTCAAAGAGAAAAGGTTCCGGTTTCGACCGTTTTAATGGTGGGGAAAGAACTTTACCGTTGGTCCTTTATGTTTGGGCCAAAAGATATTTTGGTCCGTATTCTTAGAAATTGGAATGGTTTGATCCTATACATTTCTTTTTGGTCCGTAATCTTAGAAATTGGATTGGTTTGATCCTTTAAATTTCTTCTCAGATTTTTCTCTTGGTAAAAAGTACTGACACATACTATACATTTCAAGTCAGGACCACATATGGTTATGACTTAAGTATTGTCATATCATAACAGTGCTGACGAGTCCATATTCATCACCGAGACTGGACCAGCCCATTAATAGGGAAAGGAGTCCAACCGACTCTCTTAGGGCGGTTTATGTTGTATAAACCTAATAGGATTTGGAGACTTCCCGGGGATTCTCATGCCTATAAATAGGGTTGATCACATCTCAGTACAGGTACGCAAATATAGCTTAACAAACTATACACTCAACCATTCCAATAACCCTTTATTGACTTAAGCATCGGAGTGTCTACCCTTGGGAGACCCCCGAGGCTTTGTTTTGCAGGAAACCCTAGCCGGAGTTCCACTGTTAGACCGGCGGCGTGAAACCAAGCTTCGTCAAGTGGCACGTCCAGTGGGACCCGAAAACGAGGGTTTGTGTCACAAAAACCTTCTCAAGTTTTTTTTAACATCTTCCAGAAAAAACTAGGGTTGAGGGAACAACTAGTAGAAGAAGATACCAGTAGCACCGCATCTTCCGGCGGACGACATAGTCCGGGAGACCACACCACCCTGGCAGAATTCCAACGTAGACAAGAAATGAAGAAAGCAGGAAAGAGCTAGGGTGGTGAACTAGAAAAAGAACCAACAAAAGAGCGCCTGGTCCTTGGTTCTTCCCAGCCAGATCCGAAGAAGCAAGACAAGGCCAATCATCCACCCAAAAAGGAGGATATACCTTCTCCTCGAAATACCCCTACTATCAAAAAGTGTTGGGAGGATCAGAAACTAGCCAAGATCGAGGCTGAACTCAAAAAGCTAAGAGATGATAGCGATCAACAACAGAGGATGCGAAGATACGTCCTCGAAGAAACCAGGCGGCGCTATCTCCTCGGAAAACCTGATCCCACAGAACAGGAGTTGGGTGATTTGATCAACAAAAAATAAGCTCGCAGAACCCTAGCCCTTCTCGAGAAGAAGCGGAGGAAGCGGAAGGTCCAAGAAAACGAAGATTACCAAGAAGTCGAGGGGTATGAAGACCTCCACGAAGATCGCTCAATCGCCACTCGGGACACCGTGTTCTGGAACGCTTTCAGAGAAAAATACCCAGCATTCAAAACGGCCCTCGAAGAATTTGACGCGACATACCGACGTAAAAGTGCTCGAGAGTATCACGGTTCCCCGAGTATCAAGGTCCTTGAAGAAGGAGAATGGAATTCTCCAAGGTGAACTAACGTGCACGACCGCCTGGGACCTAATTGGAACTGAAGAAGTCCTCGAAGAGATGAATATAAACCTGGCCACAAACCACATCAAGGTTACAACAACATCGAGGGCAATTATAACCGAGGATACCATCACCGTCCTCAGTACTCACCTCCCAGGCATCAGCAATACAACAGGCATAGAGAAAATCCGCCATACCTCCATAGAGATCAACAGGGAGCAAAAGATCAGAACGTCTTGATCCGAGAAGAAATGAGGAAGATCATCGGGATAGGGTTAGATTGAAGTCCCTTCATCCCTGACATTCGAGATGAACCTAAGCCCCGAGACTTTGACTTCCCTAAGGAATTTAAACCGTATTCAGGAGACATTGGAACGCCGATGTCTCCCAATGGCTGCAAGGATATGCCCAGGTTATGAGAATTCGAAACTCAACTATGAATTTCATGGCCAAAGCGCTACCTTCCTACTTGGCGGCGGGGTCAGCACAACGATGGTTTGAGCAATTACCAGAAGGGAGTATAATTAGCTTTGAGGATCTGTCCGTCAAACTAGCTACCCGATTCTTTCAGAGTAAACGAATATCGCGAATGTCCATTGACCTCTCCTCAATCAGACAAGGGCAACATGAGAGTCTCACAGACTTCCATAGACGGTTCATACAAGAAACCTTGCAGGTCGACAACATTGATGATCGAGATGTTCGCAATGGATTCATTCAAGGCCTCAACCCCTTTGGAAAATCCTCAATGTTGCGAGTCAAGCTCTCGATTAAGCCCCCCAAGAATGTTCAGGAGATATGGGCCATTGTCGAGAACCACATACAGCGAGAGCACACACTCAAAAGATCCCAGGATACTTTTGTGTCAGTAGGACTAAGAGACAAATCAAAAGTTTCCATGGAGAACAAACTGGCGCTGCCCAAGATGGATAGGCAATTAACACCCCTAACCAAGCCGCGACGAGAAATCTTCCAGATCCATAAGGACAAATTACCAGTCCCGAAAGCTTTGGCACCTAATCCAAATAGGTCCACAGAACAATATTGTGAATATCACAAGGATCACGGCCATGACACGGAGGATTGTCGAGAACTTAAGAGGGAAATCGAGAACGGGGTTAAGTCTGACAAGTTTTAGCAATACGAACAAGGAGCCTCTCGGTAGAAAAATAACAAACCCCAATCACGAAAATACCCTAAAAGAAACTTCAAAGGCCCACCGCGGGGAGATGGCCGGGGGAATAGTTGGCAACCGAGAGCCAATACCCAACAACAACCTCACCAACTTACTGAAGCAACACCGCAGCCACTCCAGCAACTCCCCCTTGCGGATCCGATGAAGCAGATCACTCACTAGGTAGGGGATATTTACAGAGCTCCCCTCGAAGTCTTATCCACCACGGCCATGAAGAACTCATTGCGGACCGTCAGCAAGACTCCTCGACAGGAACCTAGCCACAAGAGGTTCAAGGGAACAGAGTCCATCGTATTCACAGATAGCGATGTAGTCCCAGATATCTGTCCGCACAGCAACGCCATGGTTATTGAGGCAATAATCACAAATGTAAAAGTCGAAAGGGTTTATGTGGATAACGGCAGCGCGGTTGACATCATATATAGTGATTGCTTCAAGAAGATGAACATCAAGAACCCTAGCATCTGCCCAGCCACAATGCCCTTGATGGGATTCTTGGGCCACACCATTATTCCAACAGGAATAATTAGCCTCCCTATCTTGGTAGGGTCGCATCCTAAGACGGTCACTTCAACCATGGACTTCACTCTGATAGATACGCCCTCGCCGTTCAACGTAATTCTGGGATGACCCTGGATGTGCCAAGCACGTGCAGTCTGGTCTCCCTATCACCTAGTAATGAAATTCCCGATAGAATATGGAGTTGGAGTGGTACAAGGATGCCAGCGTAGTTCTCGAGAATGCTTGCTCACAGCAGTCAGAATCGGAAAAAAGACCGCGCTCCTTAATCCGGGTGCTACCGCGTCAGAGTGTTACTCAATCCGAGAAACATCCATATCACCACAGATGGAGGACCCCAAGACCTCCAATCTCCCACCACTTAGCAGTAAGACGCGAGAGTTGATCCTGAGCAATACTGACCCCGCCAAGACCGTTCAAATCAGCGTTTCTATTCGCGACCCATTGCTAGTTGAGGTTAGTGCCTTGCTATGCGAATTCTGTGATATATTTGCCTGGTCTCCGGCGGACATGACAGGAGTTCCTCGAGAAGTTATGGAACATAAGCTAAATGTCGACCCAAACGTCAAACCAGTGCAGCAGAAGAAAAGGGTATTTGCTCTTGAACGCAATGATGTCATCAACGAAGAAACGATGAAGCTAGTTCGTGCCAACATACTCCGAGAAGTTCTATGGCCCACTTGGTTAACCAACCCTGTCTTGGTGTGAAAACCCAATAATTCTTGGCGCATGTTCCAAGATTACACTAACCTCAACAAGCATTGCCCCAAAGATGTTACCTTCTACCAGTCATAGATTAGATGGTGGAGGGCATCGCCGGGTACAGAACCCTCAGTTTTCTCGACGCGTACAAGGGATATCATCAGATCCTCATGGCACAAGAAGATGCAGAGAAGACAGATTATATCACCGAGATCGGGGTTTATTGCTACGACAAGATGCCCTTTGGACTAAAAAATGCAGGGGTAACTTACTAGTGTCTCGTGAATAGAACCTTTCATAACCAAATCAGCCGGAACATCGAGATCTATGTAGATGACATTGTGATAAAGACAAACAAAGACGAGAAAGTAGCTGCAAATATGCGAGAGATCTTCACGATCTTACGTAAAATTAACATGAAGCTAAACCCTAAGAAATGTACTTTCTGTGTTGGGTCAGGAAAATTCCTAGGTTACCAAGTTTCCAAAGATGGAATCAGCGTCGATCCGGCAAAAATCAAGGCCATTTTAGCCATGGAAGCGCCAAAAACCATCAAAGAAGTTCAAAAACTCACGGGCTCCTTGGCAGCTCTAAACAGATTCCTCTCTCGAGCCGAGGAAAGAAGCCTTCCATTCTTCCATACCCTCTGCAAAGGTAGAAAATTCGAATGGAATGAAGAATGCCAGAAAGTCTTCTAGGACCTGAAGGAATACCTTAAGCAGTTGCCCACATTAGCTAAGCCAGAACCGGGAGAAACCTTATATATCTATCTGGCAACTTGAGAGAAAGCCATCTCAGCTGCGCTTGTGCAACGCAAAGATGGCAGAGAAATCCCCTTCTACTTCGTCAGTAAAGTCTTGCAAGGGGCAGAAACCTGCTATACACCCATGGAAAGACTCATCCTCAGCCTGGTCTTAGCCGCCCGACGCCTGCGCCCATACTTTCAAGCACACCCCATCATGGTTTTGACAAAACAACCCATTCAGCAAGTCCTACTCAAGCCAGAGGCCTCCGGCAAGATGATGAAATGGGGAGTCGAACTGGGCAAACACAACATCGAGTACAAACCACGAGCAGCAACCAAAGGACAGGCCTTCACAGATTTCCTGGTAGAAATGCCTCGAGCTGTCGACGTCCCGGAAATTGTGGAAACTAAGGACGATCCTGCTACTCGCGTCAACATCAACCCTCGAGCGTGGTTACTATACGTCAACGGCTCCCGTTGTGATGAAGGGGGAGGAGCCGGTATCATATTACCCAAACCTTCAGCTGATCCCGACATCAAAAGAATGAAGGAATATACATATACACTAAGGTTTGGATTCCCGGTCACCAATAACGTGGCCGAGTATGAAGCTTTGATAGTAGGTATGAACATGGCACTAAAGCTCGGGGTTCACAGAATACAAGTTCTTAGTGACTCACAGGTAGTAGTGAAGTAAATATTGGGCGAGTATACAGTAAATGATGAGCAACTCAAGCGCTATCTCAAGAAAGTCCTCGAAATCAAAGACAAGTTCGAAGAATGCACCGTATCTCACATAGTCCGGTCGAAAAATAAAAGGGCGGATGGCCTTAGTAAGTTGGCCTCCTCAAACTTTGCACACCTCAGTCACAAAGTGTGGGTCGAGATTCTCCCCAAACCTAGCATCCAGAAATCCCCCGTAATGACTATCGTCGAGGACGAAAACACTTGGATGACCCTGTTCATCCAATACCTTAAAGATGGCACATTACCAAGTGGAAAAGCAGAAGCCAGAGCCCTCCAGTTGAAGGCAGTTAAATACACATTGCAAGACGGCATCCTATACAAGCATGGGTACCTGCTACCCATGCTAAGATGCATTGGCCCAAATCAAGTAGCTTACGTACTCGAAGAAATACATGAGGGATCGTGTGGAGCCCATATGGGGGCAAGAGCACTCACCAAGAAGGACTTGTGGGCAGGGTATTTCTGGCCAACAATCTTCAAGGATGCATACCAGTTTGTACAGAAATGCGATTATGTCAATACTTTTCTCCCATCACTCGACAACTGCAGCACGAGATGGTCACCATTCAAAGTCCTTGGCCATTCTACCAATGAGGCACTAATATCATCGGCCCTTTCCATCCAGAAGGGGCAGGAGGAGTAAGATGGGTAATGGTAGCAGTAGATTACTTCACTAAATGGGTAGAAGCTAAGGGTCTGTTTGTTTCCTTTTTTTAGTGTGTGTTTTTAGGTGTTTTTTTATTGAGAATGTAAAAAGGTGTATGAGACAGTTATTAATATTAAATTCTGAAAAAACCAACAAAAAAAGGAAACAAACAAAGCCTAAACCGTTGGCCTCAATAACTAGAAGGAAGGTGTTGGATTTTTTTCTGGCAAAACATTGTATGCCGTTTTGGAATCCCAAAGGTGGTCGTCTCTGACAATGGAACCCAATTCGAGAGTAATTCTTTAAAGTCATGGTGCGAGGAAATGCAAATCGAGCGTCGCTTTTCAAGCGTGACTCATCCTCAAGCTAATGGTCAAGCGGAATCCATCAACAGAACCATCTTACATGGGATCAAGACCAGGTTTTAGGACGCAAAAGGAGCATGAGCCGATGAGCTTGCTCATGTTCTATGGTCATACCATACTACTGCACATTCCTTGACAGATGAAACACCATATAGCTTAGTCTATGGCATGGATGCCATCCCCCCGGTTGAAATAGGCTTGTCGAGCCCTCGAACAATAAACTTTGTCGAGAGCACTAATGATGATGACATCAAGCTGAACCTCGACCTACTCGAGGAACGGCGAGACGCCGTCAGAATTCGAGAAGCAAAGTATAAAGAGATTCTGTGAAGACATTACAACAAGAAGGTGAAGGCCATAGATTTCGCGGTGGGCTATCTCGTGCTAAGAAAGAATGAAGCTAGTTGAGCAGAAACTCTTGAAAAACTCATAGCAACTTGGGAAGGGCCCTACAAGGTTATCCAGGCTTCTCCGGCAGGCAGCTACTGCTTACAAACCTTGGATGATAGTGGGACTATTCTCCCTCAATGGTGGAACATTCAGAACTTCGCAGGTTCTATGTTTGAATCCTTGCTTGCTATTTGCCTATTGTGTGTTTTACTTGCTTTATTTACTTCGTCAGTTTTATTCTCTCATATGTAATGCTAATCCGGGTCCTAGGGTAGTTATTCAATAAAAGACATTACATATTCTCTTCATTGTTGATGTTCTATTCATGACTAGTCATCGAGATGGACACCCCCTTCGGGGCCATCCTCGTTAAAGAGCCTTGTACTTAACATCCGGACACAAGATCGAGGAATCCTCCTCACACATGCTACAAAACGCAGTATCGAATTGGGGAATTCGTACATAATTCCCTCGATAGAGCCGTGTACTTTACATTCGGCCTAATAAGCGCTATATAACATGATACTCGAGTTTTTTCAAAATAATCCATTAATTTTCTCCACACTACTGTGCGAGCTTGTAGAAAATACACATATTTTCTCTATACTATTACAAGGACTTTCCTCATAGGATTGTCAGGAGAAGGATGAATAATCCCCTTAAACCCATGCAGGCTCAGGAGATTCACACATTGGTTAAGCTTGTCCTTAAGATTCACGATCTCTTGGTCTTGGGCATGCACCCTCATTAACAGCTCTTCTCGAGAATTCCGAGTTCGAGGATCCATCGTTTCCTCTGAGTACTCAAAAGTCTCGAAATCAATGTGGTTATCTAGTAACAGATTTTGCAGTTTGGTAATATAATCCGTAAGAAGCTCGATCTCACGGGCTTTCCCTTTCAATATTTCAATATTCCATTGCCGCAATGAATCGACGAGTTCTGGTAATAATCATGTGTTGAACTCGGGCTAGTACTTGATGTTTCTCAAGGAACCAGGGGGACACGGTAATATGTTGTCTTTCCCTCAGCCGAGCATTCTCCCTCTCCAAGATAACTAGATCATCATGGATCTCGGTCTCGAAAGTCAGTGAATCACCGTAATCTTTCAAACTCTGAATCTCGCGGTGCTGCATCTCCTCACAAAGTTCTTTAATCTCATTTATCATATGCTGATTAACTTTCACCTTGTGTGGTCCTCATCGCGTCGAGAAGGTCATTCTTTAGGTTTGCCACTGTCTCGATACTATCCACGTCGGCACGACCTCTTAAAGTCTCGCTAATCATGGAATACAACGGGTACTCACTCGATTGCTCCTCCGATAGAACCATGAGGTGAATGCGGTGGACATGCCAACTATCCTGCTTCAAAATAGGAGCGTAAGATATTTGCATCGAATCAAAGTAAAGCAAGAAAAAGGATGCTTGTATAAGTACGTAAAACGGAGTAATCAGTTTATTACAAAAACAGTAGTTTAATAAGCCTAGTAGCTATTACAAAAGGCATGATTTATATAGCATCACTGCCAGGAGGGTGATCCTTGGAAGGGTTCTGAGATGCGTCCTCAGCATTTCTCTGCACTCCGGAGTGGCCGGTGTCAGCAACATCCTCCTCTGTGGCTTCATCAGCATCCTCGAGCTCAATACCCATGTACTCATCTGGTACATCAGGTATGGAATCCTCTTCACTCGGACCCTTGGCAAGGATGGCAGGTACGTCACCAGGAAACGACGCAATGTCTGCAGGAGAACTCATTTTGGCCAGAGCACCAGATAGAGCTTCCTACAGGGGTAGCTGCTCGAGGCTCAACTTTGTTAAGACCTTCACCATTGCCTCGTGCATGGTTTTCTTCTGGTCCTTTATTAGGAGTTGCTTGAACCATTTGGCTTTGATAGGTCTATCCTGATCGAGCCTCTTCAGGCCTGCTACGCCAACCCGGTGCGCCCCGCACTTAGTGGCAACCAAATTCATCTCCTCGAGTGTTACGGCCATCCCTCCCGTGTATAACATCTTATACATAAATGCAGCGCACCACTGGTGCAACTCCTCTTTCGAGATGTGTAAGCTAGCAAATGACTTCATCTTCTCATCCAGCTCGTCATACTTGGCTTGAACCGAGGCAATCTCAGCTTCCTTAGCTCGGACTTGGCGGGCCTTTTCCTCGAGAGTCACCACCTCGAACAAAGCTTCGTCCCTCTCAGATCGAGCTGTGACCAGGTCTTCTCGCAGTTTCCTTAGCTGCACCAGGTAGGCCATCCAGGCCGCACTTATCTACACCAAAGTAACACATTAAGAGCACGTTGATGTGTTGTTGGTTCATGGTAAACATTCATTTACAACAATGGAGAATTACTTACCAGTCTTAGGCTGTTGGCTTCATTCAGCTGAGCAGCAAATTCCTCGAGAACCGGACACTCGAAAGATGGTGGGTTGCTGAAGGTGTGCACGGCCACGGACGGACCTCCTTTGAACAGTTAGGGGGCAGGATAATCGCCTCTCCCTCGATAAGGCCCTTGCCTTTCTCTGATCCAGGGGGGGCGACACTTGGCCCAGTTTCTGGAAGAGGATTCTTGACGGTCTCAGTAGCAGGGGGCACTGTCTCCTCAACTGGTACTACGGTCTCCTTTGGAGGCGCATCCGTCCTGGCTTTTTTGTACTTCACCTTATCGCCAGCCTTCACGACTCTCTTCTTCTTTTTCTTCTGCCCGAGGGCTGCGGTGACGGATACATCCTCATCTGAATTCACAATAGTAAAGGGATCTTCGTCACCAAACAATAGAGAACCAGCGTTGCTTGAAGACATGACCTAAGAACAGACAAGAGAGGAGCAAATGATAAGTACCTTGGTTGCCTTCAACAGGGGTTTCAAGAGAAATTTTGGTTGCATTCGTATCTGTATTCTCCTCGATAGGCATAGGAGGGATATAATATTGTACGTCGTTCCATTTAACGACCTTAGTATATTCCAAGATTTTCTTCACATCTGCATCAAGCTCCTCGATGCACTCATCGTCTACTTGGGTCCACTCATCCTTTATCGCTCCGAGACCCTCCGTTTCTCGATGGTTCCACAACAAGCAATAGTTCTTGGGTGCCCTTACAAACAAAAAGTCAGGCTTCCATTCAGGCGAGCCACTATACGCCTCGACCATCTTTTTAACGCCAGATCTAAGGCGTCTCTTCACGATGTACCAATCTTGGAAAGAGGTCGACGCAACAACTACTTGGAAGAAATACTTCCACAATATCAACTGAGGTTTCACTTTTACATGTTGACATCTTTCGTGAATCCCAGAACAAAAGTTATTAAGTTTGGAGTGAAACGAGCAAGGGGAGTCTTGTAGTGCTGCACAATCTCCTCAAACAGAGGGAAGAGAGGGAATCTAAGCCCTAGATGCATAAAGCAGTAATACATAGTAATTCTTCCCTCAGGAGAAGAATTAGCTCTCTCGGTGCCTAACGGGGCTCTAGCCTCTAGATTTGAAGAAAGGTCATACTTTGTTCTAATGTTTTCTACCTTGTCAACAGAATCTATAGGGGAAACAAAATCATCAATAGTTTTTCCCTCCGAATCTCTAACCATTGTTCAGTTACAAATCTACCTAGAACTGCAATTCAAAAAGAAAAAGACTTTGAATGAAACCAGGATGGATAGATCTGAAAACTTACTATTGGAGGAGGGAATGACCACTCGCCTTTTGAATTGTAGCTCCCCAGTGTCCTTCTGAATTCCTAGTAGTAAGTCTCCTAGTGGTAACGTCGCTGGGGCAGTGTATTAGGGAAAGCTATGAATATTCCGGCGAAGATGGTCGGAGAACTCTGACAAGAAGAGACACTTTGGGTTTTTGAAAAGAGAAAAAATGAAAGAGGAACGATGGAGTCTTCTTCTTAAAAATAAAAATTATTCTCCCACGTCTCCCTAATTACAGCCCACGATATGACAGTTAGGGCGAGTTTCAAGGGAGTAATGATGGTGAAGCCGCTGTTTGGGGAACGTGCCCACTAATAATGCATGGTTGAAAATTTGGGCGGGACTGTGAAACGGGTCACCTTCCCAGGTCAAGACTTAACCCGCTGAGTCGAGGCCACTTGACACATTGCTCGACAACTAGCTGAACGAGACTAGCCTTCAACTCTCGAGCTTGTTCCAGGTGACACTTACTTTGTGTCAAGCGTTGTTTATCTTATATAACTAACACTTGATAGGGGCACTTGACGAGTCCATATTCATCACCGAGACTGGACCGGCCCATTAACCGGGAAAGGAGTCCAACCGACTCTCTTAGGGCGGTTTAGGTTGTATAAACCTAATAGGATTCGGAGACTTCCCGGGGATTCTCATGCCTATAAATAGGGTTGATCACATCTCAGTACAGGTACACAAATATAGCTTAACAAAATATACACTCAACCGTTCCAATAACCCTTTATTGACTTAAGTATCGGAGTGTCTATCCTCGGGAAACCCCTGAGGCTTTGTTTTGCAGGAAACCCTAGCCGGAGTTCCACTGTTAGAACGGTGGCGCGAAACCAAGCAAATTTTGGTTTCTATTTTCTTCTTACTTCTTTTTCCATTCATGCAAGGATGAATGAGTTGATCGAGACGATACTTTCCGGAATTCAAATACCTTTGAACCAAAAGATTCAACTTAAAGCATACTTTCTGAGTGGGTTGATGTTATGTAAAGAGAGTTGGATGCTTTAGAACTGAATCATACTTGGGAGCTCACAACTCTGCCACCTCATAAAAAGGTCATTGGTTGCAAGTGGGTCTACAAAGCTAAGTATCTTCCTGATGGTTCACTTGACAAGTGTAAAGCTAGACTGGTAGCTAAAGATTTCAATCAAATTGCTGGTCAAGATTTTTATGATTCTTTCTCTCCTGGAGCTAAGTTGGTCTTTGGCAGGGTCATTATTGCTCTCTCAGTTGCAAAGCAATGGCCTCCTGGCTATTCTTCAGCTCAACCAGGCTAAGTTTGTAGACTTAAACGATCTCTATATGGTTTAAAGTAAGCATCCAGGCAGTGGAATCAAGAATTGTCCAAACAGTTAACATCCTTTGGTTTTGTATAGTCTCAACATGATCATTGTCTTTTCTTGAAGTGTTCTGGTACAGACATTTTGATTTTATTGGTTTATGTAGATGATATCCTTCTTACAGGCTCATCTCTTTCTATGATTAATGCCACCATGCAGTTTTTGGATGCCTTTACTATCAAAGATATGGGAGCACATATGGGAGCAGCCAAGTATTTCCTTGGGGTAGAGTTAACCAGGTCCTCAGAAGGTATCTTCTTCAATCAAAGAAAGTATACACTTGATATCATTGATTCTGTTGGTCTTTTAGGCAGTAAGTCTGTCTCTACACCTTTGCCAAAAGGTCTCAATCTTCAAGATGATCAAAGTCCTTTGCTTGATTCACCTAATCAGTACAGAAGACTTGTTGGTAGACTGCTTTACCTTGGCTTCACTAGACCTGACTTAGCACACTCTACACAGCAACTAAGTCAGTTTGTTCACTCTCCAAGGAATGTTCATTGGCAAGCTGCTTTAGATGTTGTTCGCTACCTTAAAGGCACCCCTTCCCTTGGCCTCTTCTATTCAGTTTCCAGTGATCTCAGTCTCTCAGCTTTTTCAGATGCAGATTGCGGAACTTGCCCTGAAACCAGGTTCTCTTTAACATGTTTTTCCATTTTCCTTGGTTTATTTCTTGTTTCATAGAAAACAAAGAAACAAACTACTGTTTCTCATTCTACTTGTGAGGCTGAGTATAGAAGTATGTATGGCCTCCACTATTTGTGAACTCCAGTGGCTTCACTACCTTCTTTCAGATTTACACATTTCTCCTCCACTTCCTATTCCCTTTGCTTGTGATAATTAAGCTGCTATTCACATCACAGAAAACCCAACTTCCCATAAACGAACCAAACACTTAGACATTGATTGCCATGTTGTGCGCCATCAGTTCAAACACGGCTTCATTCTTCTAGTGTATATCAGCAGCAAGTTGCAACTAGCAGATCTCTTCACCAAGTCCCTCCATTCTCCACAGTTCACCTTGTTACTTTCCAAGCTCAGTCTGAGTGATGTTCATCACTCCCAGCCTAAGTTTGAGGGGGGATTTCATATATCAAAGCTCACTTCCAGCAAGTCCATCAGCAGCAGCATGAAGACCTTGATCAACAAGAAGGTCTGAATGAAGATGATGATGCTGATGATCAAATCATGGCTCACATTCTTAGAATTACTTAGCTGTAAATATTTGAGCTCTAATATGTACTACCTCCATTTCATATTATCTGTCGCATTCAGATAAATACACAAATTAAGAAAAACATGTTTGTGAATATAATTTTATATGTATTGACCTTTTTATGCGTACTTAATTGTATTGGGAATATGCAGCAAATTAAAATACAAGTAGTTATTATTGATATGACCAAATAAAACTGGAGAGAGATAAGGGTAAAATTGGAAAAAATAAATTAAATACATCTTGGGAATGAAAAGTGACAGATAAAAGGAAGATTTGATTTTACCCTAATGCGACAAGTAAAATGAAATAGAGGTAGTAAATATGTGTAGATATTTCCATCTGTAAATACTTAGTCATACTTGTATATACTAGCTATACTTAGTTAGAAATTACTAAATTAGCCTTCATTTATAACTGGGTTAGCTTAGTATAAATACATGATTGTACAGACAAATTAATTACGGATTATTCATGCTCTTTCATTCAATACAGAGAGAATTAAATCAACATCAAAACCTAGGGTTTGCTCTCTTAACCACCATGTTTATCCTGAGGAATTTTCACATACTTATACAAAATTTTCCACAGCAAAAAAAAAAAAAAAAAAAAACTTCCATATCTAAACTCCCAACAGATTTATTATAATAAGAATACTGATCTTTGTAAGATCACTATTTCGAAGGCTTAATTTTTCCATAACCCACAAAAGAAGGAACTAATCTCTCCCATCTTAATCATAAGACACAAATTAACACTAAAATTTTTTTTTTTTGGTACAATGAAAGGAGGCATAAGCCTAGCTTAGGTGATTAAAACTTTCCTTGGATAGGAGACACCAATTGTGTCATGTTGTAGCCAAGCAATAGCTTCAGATGGGGGATCATACAAACGAGAATAGCCAGTACTTCCCATGAACGCAAACGATGCTAGGAAATCTGCTACAAAATTTGCCTCACGAAACACGTGTACCACTTGGACTTCCCACCTTCGGTTCTGCAACTCCCGGATGGCCATAAACAAACTTCTGTGTATACCATCAACTTCACTCCCATTCAATAGCAAATTCACCGCACTCTGACTATCAGACTCCAATAAAACACGGCGAAAACCCATCTCCCACGCCAACAACAAGCCCTGGAAAATTCCCCATAACTCAGCACCCATGATCGTACAAAAACCAATGTTCATAGCAAAACCCCCAAGCCATTTGCCATGATGATCCCGAACGACTCCCCCTGCACTCGCCATCCCGGTTGAACCCAAAAAAGCGCCATCCGTGTTAACCTTAACGAAGTCAAACGGCGGCGCCTTCCAATGAATCCAAACCACTTCCCTCCCCACACCTACGCCGCCCAGGCTTCTCTCCCATGCTACTGCAGAGAGAACGCTCTGGATATGCCGATGAACATCATCAATTTTCCTGCTTGCATTACAGGGTGTATTAGCAAAGATAAAAGCATTCCGTTGTGCCCATATTTGCCAGGCTGTAACTCCAAATGTGCATTCCCAATTCGCTACCTCCATCCCAAATGCATTTGTCAAATTGTTCCAGAGCCAATCCTCTAACGAGGAACCAAAAAACCGCCCCTTGTGCTTTGCCGGCACCATCCGAGACCAGATATTAGCAGCCTTTGGACAGTCCCGCAACGCATGCATGGTTGACTCCAGAGCTCCTCCACACAAATCACAAGCTGGTGAATCAGCGATGCGCCGATTCCAGCGTTGTGAATTTGTCAGGATAGCCTCTTTCGCGACTAGCCAAAGAAATTGGCGGACTCTTTGCGGTCCAGTCCAACTCCATATCACCCTCCACAGCTTATTGTTCCTTTCAACCTCCGTCGGCGTGAGGGAAGCATACGCTGAGCTCGTCGAAAAATTGCCATCCCCCGAGAATCCCCAGTACGAAACATCAGAACCCGCCTGCAATCTTGGAGGCATTATAGCTGCAATTCTTAGCAAACAAGTAGCAGGTAGGAGATGTTGAAAATATTGCCAGTTCCATTGTCCCAACTCTATGACAAAACAATCAAGAGTGAGATTAATTTGTTCCGCCGGTACCACTGCTGTGGCTGAGTTGATCAATGGCTCTGACGTATGAAGCCAGTTATCCCACCAGAACCGGATCGACTTCCCATCACCAACGCTCCACCTAATCCCCTTCACCACATGACACCAAACTCTACTAATGGCTCGAAGCACTACCGAACCTTTGGGGAAAACAAAATTTTCATCCATTCCCTCCAGATTCAAACGGTACTTAGCCTTCAAAACTCTGACCCAAAGAGCTTCTGATTTTTTGAATAATCCCCAACCCAGCTTCATTAACAGAGCATCATTCATGCGCCGCTGGTTTTTTAATCCCAATCCCCCAGCATCCTTCGTCTTACAAAGTCCTTCCCAATTTACAAGGCTTACTTTGCGGCTATTCTCAGTGCCGCCCCAAATAAAGTTCCTACACCGTTTTTCAATCCCATCACACATGGACCGTGGCAGCCAAGCCGTCTGCATAGCATAAAAAGGCATCATACTCACTACTGATTGAGCAAGAACCACCCTACCAGCGAGTGAAAGTGAAGACGCCTTCTATCCTGCTAAGCGACCTTCCACTTCTCCAATATCCCATCGTATGTTTTTTGATTCACTCGCTCATGTATAAGTGGCATTCCAAGATACTTGCCAAGATTATCAACCACAGTAAATCCCATTACATCAGCTAGGGTTTGTTGAGTAGCGACATTCACATTTTTTGAAAAGAAGACTTTTGTCTTAGCCGCACTCACCTTTAATCCCGAAGCCCCACAAAAAACATCTAGAGCCGATTTCACAAGAACAGCTTGCTCCCCCTCCGCTTCCAGGAACAACAATAAGTCATCCGCAAAGAGTAAATGTGACACCTCCACATTGCTCCTCCCAATCCGTAATGCTTTCCATTCCCCGCGCTCAACCAAGCATTTTATAGCGTGAGCCAACCTTTCAATACAAAGGACGAAAAGATACGGAGAAATAGGATCCCCCTGCCTCACCCCACGGGATGGCCTAAATTCCTCTGTAGCTACACCATTCCAAAGCAACTGCATTGAAGCTGAAGACACACAGGTCATAATACCCTTCACCAAATTATCTGGGAAACCCGCCAAACGAAGGGTTTTCTCCACAAAGTCCCATCTCAAGAAATCATAAGCTTTTTCAAGATCGACTTTTATAACCATGAATCCCTTCTTCCCCGATTTGGTACGCATAGAATGAATCATTTCCTGCGCGATCACAATATTATCAGCTATATGTCTGCCCGGAATGAAACTGACTTGCTCGGGCCCAATTAATTTTGGCAATGTCCACTTCATTCTGTTAACCATCACCTTTGTTGATAACTTATAGACCACATTCAACAGACTAATCGGTCGAAAGTGTTTTATCGTTTGAGGCATATCCACTTTTGGGATTAAAACAATGAGCGTCTTATTAACCCCTTCTGGCATGATTCCCATTTCCAGTATGTTGCGAACTAAATGGCACACCGCTGGTCCCACTTTGCCCCAAAATTTTTGATAGAAAATAGCATGCAATCCGTCCGGTCCAGGAGCCTTTAAGGGTGGCATATCTTTAAGAGCAGCAAAAATTTCACCATCCGAAACCTTCATCGACATTCGGTCCATCTCCGTCCGACCGATTTCTGGAAAACAGTTCGGCATCTGTAGTCTTTCCGGCGGATCAGAGGGCGCCATGTAAATACCGCGAAAGAACTCGAATGCCATCAATTTCAGTTTTTCGGGATCCTCCACCCGCGATCCATCCAAGTCCAGCAAGGAATGAATTTTGTTTCGTCGCCTTTGTATCTTTACCTTACGGTGATAAAATGCCGTATTACGATCACCAAAAAGAGACCAATCCCTTTGTGACTTCTGAATCATTAAAAGTTCCTCCTGCAAAAGAACCTCCTCCAACTCCTCCCTCAGACTTCTTTCAAGTTGGACAAGACGCTCCGTTTGATAATATTGCAAATTCCGTTGAGCTCCCTCCAGCCTCGCTCTCAACTTTTTCTTCCTTTGAAAGATGTTACCAAACACATTATGGTTCCATTCTTTGGCTTTGGACGCAAAAGAAAGAATAGCCTCTTCGAATGTTACCCCCTCCACCCAAGACTCATCCACCAGTTTCCGAAAGCCATCACGTAAAAGCCAAGGAACAAGGAACCGGAAACCTTTCGAACCATGCAGTTGAGGAGAAAACTTCTTACAGCGCATCATAATCGGCACGTGATCCGACCGCAAACGAGGTAAATGATGTACCCGCGCTTCTTGATATTGATCCATCCATTCTGTGTTGGCTATAAATCGGTCCAGTTTCTCAGACAAACCATCTGGACGAAACCAAGTGAACTTCGACCCATCCGTACATGGCTCACACATATTATTATTAAAGAACCACTCGGCAAACCCCACATTCACACACTGCACCCTTTGTGATCCTCCCTGCTTCTCTGAACTTCGTAGAAGGCTATTGAAGTCCCCTCCCAGAAGCCAAGGACCATGCACGCTCGCCGCCAAAGACTCTAGTTCATGCCACAAAGACCGCCGCCTCTGAACGTTCGGGCTTGCATAAACAAACGTCATGAAAAACCGTTCCTCTCCACACTTAAGGGCAGTATGCAAAAATTGCTTATGACATTTAAAAATCTCGACATCAACTCTATCCCTCCAAAGAATCCAAATACCACCAGCAAAACCTTGGGCTTCAATTCGAAAGGATCTATCGAAACCACTAATTTTAACGACATCATCCGCTCTTTTACCACCTATTCTAGGTTCCAGTACCGCCATTACGTCTGGCTTATACTGGCTTATGGTGTCTGAGAAGGCTCGATGAAACTCCTTCGAGCCCGCCCCTTGTACACTAAAATTAGTTCAAAACGAGTACATAATATATAGGGATTTAAGTTACCCGACTAGATAGAAACTATACCCCCGCATATTGTGAACTATTCCAAAAGAATAATGATAATCATTCCAAAAACTATCAAGTATACTCCATCATTTCACATTTATTGTATATCATCGAAGAAGAAAACGGGAAGCACCCTATAGACCAGTGAAGTCAGTGAAAGAGGTCGTGGCATTAGAGATTGATGACAAGGTTTCCGGTATCAATGTATCTTTGTAGAACTTCCTATCAATTCCGATCATACTATTATTTGAAGAAAGGCGGCGCTGCTCAATCGACATATCACTTGACAGCAGAACCACCACCTCAGACATGGTAGGTCTCTTAGAAGGTTGAGATTGAGTGCAGACCATGGCGATATCTATGACCTTCTTCACTTCTTCGGCGTCGTAGTCGTTAGGGTCCAACGTCTCATCCACCAACTGTAGATGCACGTCCACCTCGTATAGTTTGCACGCCTATACAAATCATCACAATGAATATGAGAAATAAACCGTCGTACTAGCAAAAGCTTAATTTGTAGCAAACAAGAAAAAACAAAATTTGAAATAAGATTAATAATATACCCTCTCTGTCTCGAAATTATTGTTCCCTCTGTCTCGAAATTATTGTACAGTTTGAATTTTCTTTTTTTATTTAAAACTGTACCAAAAATGAAATCTGAAATAGGACAATAATTTTTACCTGTTCAAGAAGGTATCCACTATGAGGCTCAACTTTTGTATTGCATCCAATGCCACTGATTATTTCAAGGACTACAATTCCGAAGCTGTAAGTATCAACTTTCTCTGTCAAATGTCCCTTTGTTGCATATTCTGGCGCTGTGTAACCCCTGTGGCAATTGAAGTACTAAACTTTATTCCCGTGATTAAGTACTATCGAGTCAAAATCATGAATGAATTTTATAACTTACAAGGTACCAGCAAATCTGGTGCTCAAATGACTCCGATCATCAGGCATAAGCTTTGCCAACCAGAAATCAGCAATCTTGGGCAGAAATTCATCGTCTAGTAAGATATTGCTCGGCTTTATGTCGCGGTGAATAATGCAAACATGGTATTGTTCGTGCAGATACGCGAGACCCCTGGCCGTGCCAAATATTATGTTCAACCGCTGCTTCCAATTCAGAAGTCCTCTTTTTTCTCCTGTCAACAACATGAACATTGTATGTTTTTATGAGGAAAAAAAACATTCATTTATTTTGTATCCATAAGAAAGTTCTTGTAACAATAACATATGTGCATAGTCGGAGATAAAGATTACATTAACGTATAAATATCTATCTAAGCTTCCATTTGCCATGTACTCATAAACAAGGAGCAGGTCGGCCCCTTTGTCAGCACAACCTAATAGGCGCACAAGATTCCGGTGGTGAACATTACTAATAAGTCTCACTTCACTCTCGAACTCCGCCTTTACCCTATCTGAAATCAGGCTAAGTTTCTTGACAACAACAATGATACCATTCCTTTCAAAAAAAAAAAAAAAACAATGATACCATTACTCAATGCGCCCTGTGAAACAGGCATTCGAAAAATGACTTCTACGGAAAAAAATCGATCTAATCGAGAATTGTAAGAAAGAAATGACCTTCTTGCGGGAAATGAAACAAAGTGTAAGTGTGGAACATTACCTTGTACACCTCAACGAAACCGCCTTCTCCAAGTTTAGTTTCTTCACTAAAAATTTTTGGTTGCCGATTTCAGAACATTGTAACTATAGACTACCGGACCTTGCAATTCTGTTGCTCCCAAGACATTACCTGGTTTATGAAAGGATAAAAAAAATCTAAGGTGTAAAATTCAGGCTGAGAAACAACAATAATATTTCACTATAGTTCAAAAAAGGGGGGAAAAACAACTTCTGATTGAATTAGCATAAACTGAAACAAAATTGCAAAAACTAAAATGAAACACAGGAAAAAAAAAAAAAAAAACGAGGCAAGCTCATCTAACCTTTCTGAACTTTGTTTGGTTTTCGGTTTTGTTGATACCATATAAGTAGGGCAAGGCCAACACCACCAACAACTCCACCAATGATCGCTTTCGTGTTATTTGAGCTTCCTGAGAAAATTAAAAAATGTCAGATCAGAAAGCATAATGAAACCAGAAATGTGGATTATTTGCTCCCAAAAAAAAAATTTTATTAAAAGGGGAAAAAAAGACATCTCACCTCCTTCATCTCCTAGATAAGGAATGATGCCGGTTGTCTGGTTATCAGCGAAAAAAGGTGTTGCGGAATACCTCATAAAACAGCCAGCATGATAAGCCCTTCCATCTTCTTGGGTAAACAGCCATTTATATTGCTATATGTAATATTCAGGCAGTCTCGACAACCACTCGGGCTGGCTGTTTCGATGCATTGAGCCACTGCGTAAACTGCATCTTTACCATCACTGCTCAGTTGCCTCTTTGATGCAGCAAAGAATCCATTCATTCGTGGCGTCGCGAGTTTAAGATCTTGTAACAAATCTCCAGCCTGAGTTTGAAAATTAGTTGGCTGCGATGCATTGGTACTGCTGCATATCTCACCGTATCCATCTTGAGGAGTGGTCTCGCTGTAGAACATCGCACTCTCGTACCTAAAACAGGGCAAATGTTGTTTATTAGAAACCTCAAGAACTTGAAGAGATTTGATTCTCAAAAACAAAGGTATTATGAAGCAGATTTTCAGTATCTTAGCAGGTCATGGAGTCATGATTATCGGAATCAAATTGTACTAACCAATTAATGGACAGAGAATAAGATGAACAAAAAAGAATAGTGGATGTTGGTTGGTTTTAAAACTCAATTTTGAAGGAAATTTTTACCTTAAGAAGCAGCCATCAAACAGAACCCGAGCTCCAGTAGCAGCAGAGCAATATCTGATCTGTGAAACAGCAATGTTGTAACAGGAAAGACAATCATCATTGAAAAGGTAATTCCTGCATTGAAACAGGGCATAAACAGGGTGCTCTGTTGCAGCAAAATGCTTCTTCTCTTGTGATATCTGGTTTCTGAGATCAGCAAAACTGGCATTAAGATTGTTGAAGAAATCCCTGACATTAGTAGCATTGTACGGGCTGCATCCACGAATTAAAAATTTGGTTTGAGGGTCGGAATTTGCTGTTTGGAATGAGACTGATATAGCAAGAAATACTATAATAACAATATGTTTGAAAGGCCAGCAAGTTCCCATTGTTTGGGCTGATTTGGAACTGAAAATGTTGAAAATTTGAGTTTCCTTAGGATTGTCTGGAAAGTACAAAACTACAAATCTATACCATATATAAAAGGCTCGAACCGCGGAAATGAGCCTGTTCACGCCCAGTTTCCCCTCCAAAATTGCTGACGTCTCCAACTCTCTTTGCTCCTGTCCCCATGCCGACTGGAAACTTCCGGTTGCCTCTCTTTCTCTTCCCTTCTCTTTGCTTCTTCTCACACCGTATTGCTACGTACGCGTCTGACTTCTAAGTTTCCACCTCCACCGGTGCCAATTTCTGGTTTCCTCTTTTCTTTTTCGCACTCCGCAAGAAATTCCGATTGTTCTTTGTTCAATTCTTTGCAGCAGAGCAACGATCCCTCCAAGAAAAAAGGCGGTACAAGATTTCTTTTTTTTGGAGAGAAAATTTCCCCCAAATCCAGGCTTTCAGGTTTGAATTTCCCCAAACTCTTCTGTGTTATTGATATGTGGCAGCAACTTTTTTCCTTCAAATTAAATCTTCATGAGTGGCTATGTAATAATTTGATCAATAGCCCGGTAATCAATTTGATGAATACGCCATTTTACTGAGGCCGAGATTTCAGTCACCAAAATGGCTTTTGCTGGTTGATAAATTAGGGCATCGGGCAACTTTTGTGGTCAACCTTCTAAATCCTCCCGAATTTTGAGTTATCTTCAAATATTTGTACTTAATTCCTTCTTGATTGAACGCAGCCAAATTTCCCATAAAAAAGGTTATAATTTTGGGAGAATTCTTTAACAATCTTTGTTCTTTCCACTTTAATTAAATTTGTGTAGGTTAATCAATTGAAAATACGGTTTTTGTTTTTATGGCGATGATACTAATTGCTGACCGTTTGGTTCAAAATTCCCATTTTAGTTGAACCCGAAGGGGAAAGGGGCATGATTATCTGTGCTCACAAACAGGTCAATTATGCTTAGAAACAACAATACTAGAAAGTCTGGGAAGGTTTTAATTTGGTACGTGTGTGTATAATTTTAAGAGGTTTACAAAGTGTTTGCTAAAATGTCTCAAAGTGAGTTTTCTTTATTAGATGAATTTATGTAAATTAGTTTACAAAAATTCCCCTGGTCAAACTAGTTTCAGCACATGATTACTTTTCTGAAGATGATAGTTTGTTGGTGTTATGGCAAATCAAACTATGATTTATACATTAATATGTATAAGGAGTGACTGTATTTCATCAATTTCATTCGATGCAAAAAAATTGAGACTATTTTATTAATATAGAATTCAAATCTAATATTAATGATTGGTTTATGCATTTGTGATGCTATATTTTAAGATGCTCTGGCCAAAACCAAAGTAGGACATTGAAATTAGAAGCACGGTACAACCTTTCAAATATTCCCAATTCTTGAATCTTCAAATTTATGATGTTGATTTAGTCTGCTACCCTTATAACTTTAATGAAAACTTGCCATGGTCTTGGAGTGTTAGATGAAAGCTCTTGTCTTTGTGGGAATGATTGAAAAATAAGGGTTAGGTACAAAGATGTCAAAGTACTGTTTGGGAACCATGATTTTGTTCGTATGGCTTTATGACATATATTAGCCAATTGATGTTGTTTCGACATGACATCTGAGTCGGTAGTATCATAAAGGATGATGTAATTTTCATATCTATTTTGGTTTGAAATATTCTTAATCACATTTGTCATGGCGTTTGGGTCGCATGTGAAGTGTTTATTTTTATTCCAGAGAGTTTGAATTGGTCATTAGGATGAATTTTTAATGTTTCCTAGGAATTTCGAATTAAACAGGGTAAAAGACATTGCAACTTCAATAAGAATTTTGGTCTGAATAGTGTTCTTTTTCTTTTGCACTTTGCAGATCATTTTTAGATTTCTAGCTTAGAAATACAGATCATTCAATTGTGTCGGGTATAGAGATTTTCCTGTGATTGTTATCTTTACTCTTGGAAATTCTGGATGCTTTGCAATGAATTATTCAGTTTTGTTATGCAGCACATTTGAAGCATTAGAGAGTAAAAGTTTACTAAATGAAGATAGTCATCTATAGTATTCTTCAAATTAGTGTATTTGGATGCCTGATCTGGTTTGATGCTGTGGTTTAATTCTCTGGACAGAATTCCTTTCCAAAAAAACTTTACATTGGATGAATGACATTACAATTTTCAATACAAATTTTGTTTCAATAGAGTTCTTCTTTCGTATATTGCAGATAGCAACAAATTTCAGTCCTGTACAAAATTCCTGGTTTCGCATTGCTGGTACGATGTGTTGTATTTACGTGATGTAGTAAATCTCTGTTTCCTTCTTGCACGGCCAACTGGTACGCTTTTCCATTAAGTTCTGTAAGTATATTTGCATCTGTTTGTTGGTTTTCTCGGGAGTATTTTTTCACTTACGTTTTTTGCTTATTTGAATTTTAAATCTAATTGCTTTCTTTTATAATGTAATTTATTTCGTTTGCAACTGATTTTTATATCAGTTGTGTTGACTGTGCTTTTTTAACTACTGAAAACTAAAAATGACACACAAAAAAAAGTAGATTGTTCAAGAAACAACACCATTAGGAGAAGCCTCTGCATCCCGTAAAAGAAAATACACTTCTATACTTCAATGTAGGCAACTAAAAGGTGACTCCCTTAAAAGACAAAGAGAAACTTGCCTAAATTATGTTGGTATTGGTACTTCAGATTCAGCAACAGAAAAACAAATTATTCCACGGTTAACAGAATTAGGAGAACCCTCCTTTGAAAGAAAATATGCTTCATTAGATGAACGTAGGCAGGTAAAAAATCAAAATCTTAAGAGACGAAGGCAAAATCTTAGTGTGAGTCATTTTGATACATTAAATATAAATTCTGATCTTTTATCTTACATAGCAAGATTCCTGACTTATTACCCAGTGCTCCAAACTGTAAATTTTGTAATGCAAAACGTTTGTACTTGGAACCACCTGGATTTTGTTGTTGTTCAGGAGAAGTAAAACTGTCAGGAACCGAAATGCCTGGTGAACTAAAAGAATTATATCTTAGTGAATCAGAAGATCGTAAACATTTCCGTGAATGTGTTCGTAGTTACAATAACATGTTTGCATTTACATCATTCGGTGCCCATTACGGTAAATCTCTTTGTAAAAGAAATGTCGTTGTTTATACTTTTCGTGTCCAAGGTCAGTTGTATCATTTTATGAATGCATTAGTACCTCAGGAAGGCCAGAAACCACAAAATCTTCAATTGTACTTCTTCGATACAGACCATGAAATTTTGAATCGAATGTCAATTAGTAAGAAATTTCAACAAAACCTGATCGAAAGACTGCTTCACATTTTGAAAGACAACCCATATGCTAAATTTTTCCGAAGTTTGAATAGAGTTGATAACTTAGATGAGTACAAAATTGCTTTAGAGGCGAATCTCATGTTTGACGAACATGTTTTCAATAAACCTCAAGCCTCCCAGGTAGCTGGAATGTGGCTAGAGTCAAATGTACATGAACAAAATATGGGCCAAAACATTCGGGTTTACGCAAAAGAAAGTGACGAATCTCAAATCATTAGACATTATTTTGGATGTTATGATCCCCAACAATATCCACTTATATTCCCAAATGGAACCCCTGGTTGGCATAAAGGCATTAAAAGACTAAACCAGAAAGGAAATAAAACTGACTGGGGAACATGTCCTGGTGAACGATTTTATAACATTGAGAATTATACAGATGTAGATAATTGTTTACTCGCTGAATCTGAAGCTGCTAACAAGAAAGGTTCAAAGTGAAAAGAAGTATCATGTCGTGAATACTATGCTTATAAGCTACAAATTAGGGAAAAAGATAACTCTTTCTTACTACATGTTGGTAGACTTTTACAGCAATATGTAATAGACATGTATATCAAAATTGAAACATCAAGGCTGAACATTTTTCGAAATGAAGAGATGCAAACTCGATTCAGAAATGAAATATATAAAGGTTTGATAGATGGTATTGCACGAGGATGTAAATTAGGTAATGATATAGGAAAATGTTTGATTTTACCTAAATCATTTATTGGTGGACCAAGAGATATGCATAATAGATATATGGATGCTATAGCTTTAGTTGAAAGCTATGGAAAACCAGATATTTTTTTGACTATAACCACAAATCAAAATTGGCCAGAAATAAAAGATCTTTGTTCACGATCAGATGAAACACAAAATAGGCCTGATTTAATAGCTAGAGTCTTTCATGCGAAGCTCGAAATTTTAAAGAAGGAATTATTTCATAACAAAATCTTTGGTGAAGTTATAGCTTATACCTATGTCATAGAGTTCCAAAAAAGAGGTTTACCACATTCTCATTTTTTACTCATTCTTAGTCCTGCATCAAAAATATACTCCTCCGAGGCACTTGACAGAATTGTCTCTGCGGAATTGCCTGACCCCAAAACTGATAAATACATGTTTGGCCTTGTGAAAAAACACATGATACATGGACCATGTAGCGAACTTGACAAAACATGCCCTTGTATGAAAAAAGATAGAAATTGCAGATTTAGATATCCGAAAGACTTCAGAAGCTACTACATATGGAAAAAATTCTTATCCAATATATCGACGTAGGAATAATACATGTGTCATCGAAATTAGAGGCTCATTACTTGATAATAGATGGGTAGTACCATATAACCGATATTTGATAGCAAAATTTAATTGCCATATAAATGTTGAAATTTGTTCAGCCATTGAAGCTGTGAAATATATTTACAAATACATTTACAAAGGACATGACAAGATTATGTATACATTACGTTCAACCAATGAAACACATAATCAGGACACTGATAAAGAAAGTATAATTGATGAAATTAAAGATTTTGTGCAAGCAAGATGGATTTCACCCCCCTGAAGCAGTTTGGCGGATTTTCAGCTTTGATCTCAACCAAATGCACCCTTTTGTGATTCCATTACCTATTCATTTAGAGGACCACCAATCAATAACTT